CCATTTCCTACACAAATGAATATACAAATCGTCATAATTAATGAGTGTTATAATTTCGTGATAAATAAATTTAGCAAAATGTTAAGATAATTAGAATACAATTAAGTATAATTATAGCTTAATATCAAACGCTTATCTATAAATATCTTTTAGACGATATTTTTACATTGTTGCTTGATATTTATATAGTTAAAAGAAAAATTATGTTGTTGGTTGATATTGATTGGTTATATATAATATCAGTCTAGAGGCGAAACCAAGGTTAGGAGTTTGGGGGTTCTAAATCGATTTTGTTTGGGGGTTCACATGTTTATATACATATATTTATTTAATTTTCTAATACAATATAGGGTCTACAAAAAAGCTAGTGGATTCGTCCGAACCCATGAACCCCCACCTAACTCTGCCTCTTAATATATGTCCAAGGATCATTTCAATCAAACAATAATTTGGATTTGTGTGGACAAAATTTGTAGAATAAATTATTTGAGATATTGTTTTCATTTTTATATTACAATACAAAACCTATTCAATTTGCACTAGCCATAAAATTGTAACATGACTTGGACTTTCTTTAGATATTTATTTTGCTATCATGGATATATTTGAAACATACTGATTGGCTTTATTTGGTTCACATACTAGTTATACGTATGATTTATGATTCAAGATTGTTTATACGATATGAAAAATATTACTGAATAGATTATTATGTGATGAATAATAATGTATGGATTATTAGAGAATAAATATTGGATACATTATGGGATGTTATGTAATGCATTGAGTTTGATCGGATGAATTTATAACTTATGATTTATAAAAAAAAATTAGATGAAAGGTACTTTTATCTTCAAAGTTGATTACTTATGATTTTATATTGAAAGTATTTTTCCTTTATCATGACTTCTAAGTTCTAACTAACAAAAATTGCTATTTTAAAGTAGACATCAAATAATTTCGTACATTTGAGTAATTCAAATCTATTTTAAAGTGAAAAATGCTTAATTTGCTCTTTATAAGAAAATAATAATAAAAATAACTAAAAGACCCCACAAGAGACTAGTTTGTTGTCTCAATTATTTAAGCCGCCATCAAATTATTATTTTCATAAATTGCATACTAGTAAAATTACTCGCGCTTCCAACATTTTAAAATAGACATCAGATAATTTTATACCTTTGAATAATTCAAATCTATTTTAAAGTAAAAAATGCTTAATTTGCTCTTTATAAGAAAATAATAATAAAAATAACTAAAAGACCCCACAAGAGACTAGTTTGTTGTCTCAATTATTTAAGCCGCCATCAAATTATTTATTTTTATATATTGCATACTAGTAAAATTACTCGCGCTTCGCACATTTTAAAATAGACATCAGATAATTTCATACCTTTGAATAATTCAAATCTATTTTAAAGGAAAAATGCTTAATTTGCTCTTTATAAGAAATATAATAAAAATACTAAAAGACCCCACAAGAGACTAGTTTGTTGTCTCAATTATTTAAGCCGCCATCAAATTATTTATTTTCATATCACAAAATTTATAAAATAATACTTAAAATCTATCGGTCATTAAAACTAAAACACTATGTTATTTTACATACAAGATTACGTAGTAACTTAAAACTAAAACACTATATTATCTTACATACAAGATTACGTAGTAACAAACATTAACAATGTAAAGGAAAATGAAAATTATTACATCTTATGATTTATCCTTAATAACATAAGCATAAATTAATGTCTGTAAAAATACATACCAAGATCTTTTAACAAAAGCAATGGTGTTAGTGAGCCACTCAACAGGAGCAAAATACACAAATATTTAATTGTGAAGAAGAAGAAGAAGAAGAGATTCAGAATTTTCGTTGTTTTAAATTGAGAGGAAATCCCTTTATTTATAGACAACAAATGGTAGTGTGAACAAATGTTTATTGTGCCTTATCGGAAATGTTACAACTATTTGGAAAAGTTTCAACCCTTCGGAAAGGTCACAACCTTTCATAAAATCACAACTTTTCATAAAAGTCACAACTTTTCATAAAAGTCGCAACTCATCATTAAGGTCGCAACATTTCATAAAAGTCACAACTTTTCATAAATGTTACCAACCGTGGCCAAAGTTTTTAGCCACGGTTCTCATGCCCTTTAACCACGGTTTTGGGCGTGGCTAATGAGCGCGTTTTTTGTAGTGAGCACAAACTGTAAAATTATACACTAATTAAATTAAAGTAGAACAAAAGAAATAAATTTTTTATATTTTAAAAAAAAAATACTCTGAAGCAGATACGTCGACGGAGACGTGCCTGCTTCAGCACAAACTGTCTCTTATATAATAAGAGAATATATATAACCACATTTTCATGTACAAAAAATTATTTCTGCATAAATGTTAAACTCTAAATTAAGAATTCATCAACCACCATGTTGGGTAACACAACATTATTTTACCTATGACAACGTTCACGAGCGGTTGAGTGGCCTGGATCAGAGTCATATTCTAAGTCCAAAGATATGACACTTAGTTAAAAAATAAATTTGGGCTTACGTTTTTGACATGATGGTAAGTGTTTGATCCTGAATGCACATAATATATCAATTATTTGATATCCACGGTAAAATAACAAGAACATGAGAAATTTATTTTTATCGTCATACTAATCAAAGTAACTGAACTTTTCCATATGTAATAATAAAATCACTAAACTTTATCGTTATAACAGCATATATAATCTACATACGTACATATCTATCAAGGTGTCTTTACTGTTATAATTGATCAAATGCAGAGAGAAGTGTTAGATGGTGCAAAGGAGATGATGAAAGAAGTTATTATTGAACATCTTGACATCAAAAACATGTTATCTTCTTCAAACAAATTTTATATTATAGACTTGGGATGTTCAATTGGACCAAACACATTCAACTCAATGCAACATGTTGTACAAGTTGTAAAGGACAAGTACCATGATAACATTCTTGAATTCCAAGTATTTTTCAATGATCATGTAAACAATGATTTCAACACCCTCTTTCAATCACTACCTATTGATCGATCCTACTATGCATTTGGAGTTCCAGGATCTTTTCATGATAGATTATTTCCATCGCGATCAATACATTTTGCTCATTGTTCTACTTCTATACATTGGTTATCTAAGACTCCAAAAGAGTTGTTAGATGAGAAATCTCCATCATGGAACAAGGGTTTGATTCATTATATAGGTGCTTCAAATATTGAAGTAATGAATGCTTATGTTGCTCAATTTGAAAAGGACATGGAAATGTTCTTCAATGCAAGAGCTGAGGAAATTGTTCCTGGTGGAATGATGGTTCTAATTTCACCACAATTTAGTGAACGTCTCTTAAATTTTTCGGTTCTAGTCTTATGGATTTGGTGAACGAGGTAGGTAATTAAATTACTTAGTACTTCATTCATTTCAATTTGTTTGTCTGGTTAACCTTTTAATTTCAACTTTCCTTTTTGATACAGTCAGCGTATTTTTAGTTTAAGATCATAAGATTCAAAAGTCTTCTATACTTTTTTAAACTTCAAATCAAATAACAATCAAACAAACAAATCGAAACAGAAGAACTAGTTAGATATAGCCATACATTTATAATATTTGAGGTTTCTTTCTTCTTCTTTTTCCACAGGGTAAGTTAGATGAGTCTTTAGTTAACTCATTTAATGGGCCAGTGTATTTTCCCTCAATTGAAGACATGACTAAAGTGGTGGAGAAAAATGGTTGTTTTAGCATAGAAAAAATAGAGCTAACATATCCCAAATCAAAGCTTGTGGATGAGGCTGATGCAAAGACTTTAATGATAAACCTAAGGGCTGTTTTAGAAGGACTTTTCATCAATCATTTTGGGAGTAAAATAGCAAAAGAAGCTTTTACAAGGACTATTCTTAAAAGTGATGAGATTTCAGCATGGATGAAAATAAATTACAAGAAAGCATGCCAATTATTTATCGCTTTAAAGCGTAAATGAATTTCTATAGAGGAATGTACTATATATTAAATAACTCGATTCTATGGAGTGATGTGATATATCTAATGTACAAGACTCGTAATTTTTTTTATCCTTCCTACTATATTATTTTAGCATTAAATCTTATGTTTGGGATTAATCTTTATCATTTTGATTTTCACTTCATTTTTAGTAGGTTTAGTTTGAAAAAATGAAAACCATTAAAGTGTTGTATTTTTAGGATTTAATTTATCTTTATTTTGGTATTTTTATTGAATTTCTTTAAAAAAGGGCCAATAATATTTTGCCACTTGGCGTAAAAATTTCATCTTATCCATGTCTAACAAACTTTATATAATGGTACTGTCATAAAATGTAATGCAATGCACATATAATTTGTTGATTACTTATGGAAGGCATTTGAAATAAACTGATGAATCGGATTTGTTGATTCGTCTGGTTCACATATTAGTTATACATATGAACTATAATACAAGAGACTTTGTTGTTTCAATTATAAGAGTCGTCACCAAATTATTTATTTTTCATAAATTGCATATTTATAAAATAAAATTAGGATGATTCATCTGAATAACTTTTATTCCTTTGCAAAAAACAACATCATAAAATTTAGTATCTTTTATTAATAATTTATAATATTGTATGTAAACAATATATAAAAAATTTGAGTCCTTAGAATTTTCAGGCCTAAAACAATTGCTTTAATGGTTTCCCCTTTAAGTCGGCTCTGTAAAAGCGGATCTTATTGGGACTCGTGCATTGAGTACCTACTCGAATATACATGGTCAAATAATAACATAGATAAATAAGGATGCTAAAGGAACATAACATTATATGTAGTGATAAAATTAATATAATTACACTAGAGTAGAAGTAACAAATTTATCAGAATTCAGTTTCTTCGATTCAAATTATGTAATTATCTTACAAAATTCATTTACAATGTACATTTAAAATTCGTAAATTTTAAATTCTGAATCCGTCTAAGGTGAAGAAGAAGAATATTAGCCAAAATGACAACATCTTTCCCCATGAATGATGGTAATAGTGCTTATAGCTACTACAATAACTCCCAACGGCAGGTATTAATTTAATTTAATTTAATTTCTTCAATTTAAATTAAAAAATACATTTATTAACAAAATTTACTAATGTTATGATTATATATATGTAGAAAGAACTTATAGATGCTTCAAAGGATATGGTGAGAGATGCAATTATTGGAAAACTTGATGTTGAAGTCATGTTATCTTCTTCACACACATTTCGTATTATAGAGTTGGGATGTTCAATTGGACCAAATACTTTCCATGCAATGCAACATGTTGTAGATGTTGTAAAGGAAAAATACCACAATATTATTCTTGAATTCCAAGTATTTTTTAGTGATCATGTCGAAAACGATTTCAACACTCTTTTTCGATCACTACCTATTGATCGATCCTACTATGCATCTGGAGTTCCAGGATCTTTTCATGGTAGATTATTTCCATCGCGATCGATACATTTTGCACATTCTTCTTGTGCTATACATTGGTTATCTAAGATTCCAAAAGAATTGTTAGATGAGAAATCTCCAACATGGAATAAGGGATTGATTCACTATGGTACATCAAATATTGATGTAGTGAATGCTTATATTGCTCAATTTGAAAAGGACATGGAAATATTCTTTAATGCAAGAGCTGAGGAGATTGTCCCGGGAGGAATGATGGTGTTTATTTCACCATTTTCAAGTTATACACGTCTCGTGGAATTTTTCGGTTCCAGTCTTATGGATTTGGTAAATGAGGTATGTAATATCTATATTTTACTTGAGAGTTTTTTTCAGTTTCAGTCTTATGAATTTGATAAATGAGGCAAGTAGTATCTATATTTTACTTGAGTCGAGAGTTTTTTCGGTTCCAGTCTTATGAAATTGGTAAATGAGGTAAGTAATACTGCATTTGTCTCAATTTATATGACTTACTTTTTTTTTTAGTTAGTCCCAAAAAGAATGACACATTTCTATACTAAGTAACAATTTAACTTTAAAATATTACCCTTAATGAAATGATTTATATTCACACAAATTTCTATCATTCATTTTAAACCACGAATTTTAAAAGTCTTCTTTCCTTTCTTAAACTTCGTGCCGAGTCAAAATACCTCACATAAAATGAGACGGAGGAAGTATCTATATTTTACTTGAGTTGAGAGGTTAGTAAAATGTATATTTTACTTGAGTCGATAGTTTTTTCGGCTCTAGTCTTATGAATTTGATAAATAAGTTAAGTAATATCTATATTTTACTTGAATCGAAAGTTTTTCGGTTCTAGTCTTATGAATTTGATAAATAAGGTAACTAATATCTATATTTTACTTGAGTTGAGAAATTTTTCGATTTCAGTCGTATGAATTTGGTAACTAAGGTAAGTCATATCTATATTTTACTTGAATCCAGAATTTATCTATAGGGATAAGACTGTGTGCACACCACATTTGTAAGTGAAGTTTCTTTCTTTTTGACATAGGGAAAGTTAGATGAATCTCTTGTAGACTCATTCAATTTGCCAATGTATTTTCCCTCTCCTCAAGACATGACTAAAGTGGTGGAGAAAAATGGATGTTTTAGCATAGAGAAAATGGAATTGGCATATCCTAAATCAAAGCTTGTTGATGAGATTGATGCAAAAACTTTTATAATAAACCTAAGAGCTGTTTTAGAAGGACTTCTCATCAATCATTTTGGGAGTAAAATAGCAGAAGAAGTTTGTGCAAGAACTCTTTTTAAAAGTGAAGAGATTTCAACATGGATGAAAGCTAATGGTGGAAAATCATGTCAATTATTTGTCGCTTTGAAGCGTAAATGAATTTCTATGGACGAATCTATCTATATATAGATATATTATAGTGAAGATAATACTTTTAGTCTTTATGATATTCGATTAAAGCATATTTGATATTCGATTAAGCAATATGTGTTTGAATTTCGTTAGTCAAAGGTTCAAAAATACATACATTGCTTAAATGAAAGTCAAATGTGCTTAGTCTGACTATCACATGAGCTAAAATAGAAATAATGCAATAACACAAGAACTGAACATATTATTTTTTTATATTATATAATTCAGATCCATGGAGAAATTATATGGCACATTTTGTAGGCCAAGCTTTCTATTTGTGTCTAATGTTTTGGATTTTTTTTTCTACTTTTTTTGGTAGTTGTTCACTTTATGTGCTCTACAAAGAAAATTCAATTTTTTAAAGTTAATGTTCTTAATTAACCTCCATCTAATAATTATTTTTTACTCTTTTATTTTGTTATGATCCATATTTTGTAGGTTGTACCCAATAAGTCATTATGTACACCATTTATTATATTGTGTATCTAAATTTCAGTGATATTATTGAGATGTTTAGCTTAGTAGACATTTTGGTCATAGATTCAAATAGTTTAGTTTTTATCTTATTTAGAATTTAAATCGGAGGTAATCGGGGAAGAAATTGTGTTTAGTTATACTTTTTGAAAAAGAGAGAAGAACACTTTAATTATTTGAAATTTATAAAGATGGAGAAAAGATTTGAAACGCTTTTTCAAATTTAGAATCCAACTTCAATTTCGATTTAAGTTTTTCTATAACCAAACACAAATTTTGAAATAAAGTGAAAAATTATTCTAACACAATATCATACAAAATGCATGTAATCTAACAAATGGAGTTTGGAGAAAATTCAGAATAATGTGTACACAGATTTATCCCTACATCTACCTTAAAAGTTAGAAAGTTGTTTTTGATAGATTGATCTCAATGCAAGTAAAAACATCATAAAATAGTTCAAAAAAATGGAAACAACAAAAATATAAAAGCCAATATAAAATACTGAAGAACACACGACATATATTATATATTTTTTTCGATGAAGTAGTGTCACGTTACACGTTTTGATCTTTTATAAATCGATCCCTATCTCTCACACTTTTATACTGACACATACATACATCTCGTCTTCACATGTCCAGAACATGGCCGGTAGGTACGGACGGCATGATTCTCATCGTGCACTCACGCAGCCTCTCTCCGTTTTAAACAAAAATCCAAAATAATTTTTCAAATTAATCTCTTTATAATCCTCATAAATCTTCCCTAATTTACTATTTTTCGACAATTAATTCACAATTAGTAAATGGGATTAATTAAATCTCTTTTCAATCGAAAGAAAAAAAATGACCCAACGCCGGCGAATTCCCCGCCGGTGAACTCTCCGATCATGATAGAAGAGGAGCTACAACAGGTATTCAACAAATTCGACATCAACGGCGACGGAAAAATCTCGTTTTCGGAACTGGGTTTCATCATGGCCAGTTTAGGAACCGCTGTAACGGAGGAAGAATCGATTGAAATGATTAACGAAGTCGATGGAGACGGAGATGGATTCATCGATTTGAGTGAATTCATCGAGCTTAACACGAAGAACATTGATTCCGATGAAGTTACGGAGAATTTGAAGGATGCTTTCTCTGTATTTGATGTGGATAAAAATGGATCGATCTCTGCTGAAGAGTTGCAAAAAGTGATGAAGAGTACTGGGGAAGAATGTTCGCTGGATGAGTGCCGGAAAATGATCGGCGGCGTTGATTGTGACGGCGACGGGATGATTGATTTTGAGGAATTTAAAGTTATGATGATCGGAAAAAGAAAAGAATTATAGAGATTTGATTTGGTTTTGTTAGAAATTATGTTAGTGGTTTAATGTATCGTTAAGTGTGCGATTCGATATTTTTAAAGTTCGATTTTGATAATTGAAAATACTCCAGTATTTAATTTGTGTTTGTGACGATTGATCGACCTACCTAGTGCTCGTAGAAAACTTATCTCAAATCTCATATTCAAATATTATGTTCAATTGTTCATCATAAACCTTTACTTCTTTTTTTTTTAATGGAATATCTCAAGAACAAATATTTTCTACTCTCATATTTTTTTTCCATCTCCTCCTTCCTTTGTCTTTGTCTATAGTTCATCCTTGACCTTATTTTTTGAACTCGTTAACACCGAAACATTCGCCATGAAGGCCACTCAAAGTAACCTATTCGAGGTTCGCCCTTTGTATTGTACCGCTTGGAAAGAGGCTCGCTAGCCTTTTTCTTTCCCTACACCTAAAAGTTGGACGGATTAGTGACTTTAAATTGAACCTTGAGACCCAGCCCTGCCTCTCACCTTTCGGTTCATTGCAAGGAAAGACTATGAATTAAGAACACCTCTAAACTTGACGTAAATTATTAGTTGTGTCCGCAAACTACTAATAGAATTAAAAACAATCTTTTACATGAATAACTAAACTTAGATCTACCCTCAATTGTCATATGACATAGTAAATAGTCTCAAACTCTTGTAAAGCATGAGGATCTACTAAAAATTTGAGAAAAGTATTAAAAACACTTCTAAACTTAACGAGAATGTAGAAATATATTTCACTCATATTAAAGATTGAACATTATTTTTAAGACCGTCCATAGTTCGGATTTACGAGTCCAGAGAAACACTATCTCCCCTTTGAGTTCCTGTTATCACACTTTACACTCAAATCAGCAAAAATGTCGAGCAAAATGATGCTAATGGCTAACTCCTTAACACACGTCCGTCCTCTCACTTGCGCCACCGCCGCCGCCGCCGCCGCTGTTTACCCATCACGGCTAGTGGCACAACCACCGGACCTCATCAAATGGGTGAAAATTGAAGGTGGGTTTGTTCACAAATCCATTAAAATAGCACAAGGTGATTCCTTTGGCCTTGGATTAGTTGCTTCTGAAGATATCCCAAAAGGGTCTGATCTTATTGCCTTACCTCAACATATTCCCCTCAAATTTGATGGGTCTTCTTCAGAATCAGAAAATTCCCATTCTGCTTTGATTAAATTAGCTCAGCATGTTCCTGGTAAGGGGTTTTCTTTCTTTTTTATGCCTCTTTTTCATTATCTCGATTTCGCTTTGTTCAAGTTCAGTTTCCATAGGTTTTAATGATAATTAGATTGTTCTTTAATTTATTCAAGCTGAATGTGAAGTATGAAATGCACCATTGGTGTGTAGCTTAGGGGTCGATGAGGTAGGTTGAGAACCGTGAGGTCTTAGCAGAGGATTTCTTTCCATCGGTGGGAAAAGAAATTAGTTGAGGTGCGTGCAAGCTGGCTTAGATAGTATTAGTGTTAGCCACCACAACTCGATTTGGATATTAGTTGAAGTTGACCTTATATAATCTTTTGTATCCATTTTCTTTGTTTGGGCTGATTTCCACAGGTTTTAATGATAATAGATTGTTCTTAAAATGTTCAAGCTGAATGTGATAATATGAACCACCATAACTCTCTACTTGGATACTAGCTAAGGTCGACTCTATATAATCTTTTGTATCCATTTTTCTTTGTTTAGGCTGAGTTTCCGTAGATTATAATGATAATCAGATTGTTCTTAAAATGTTCAAGCTGAATGTGAAAATGTGAACCACTACAACTCTTAGTTTACTGAAAGCATGTAGTACTTCTAAGGGTGTGAACTAGTGGTTAATGAAGTTGGGAGAACCATGAGGTCTCGGGTTCAAATTCCAGCAGAGGTATAAAAAAGTTAGGTGGTGTTTTTTTCTATCTACCTAAGGCTTGGTGGTGGAGTTACCCGGTAGCTGGGCGGGTTGGAGGTAGCAGGTATCCAGTTGAACTAGTCGAGAAACTCGTGCAAGCTGGCCCGGACACCACCATTATTGAAAAAGTGTTCATTTTTATCAATCACATTAACAAAAAACTTGTTGAGGTTCACTATATAGTCCTTTGTATCCATTCCCCACTGTCCAGTCCAATCTTGTAGGAAGTTTCATAATGATTAGACTATTATTTAGCTGTCTGAAAGTCTACATACCCCAACTATTATCCTTTATCCAGGCTAGGGACGGACTATGCCTTGTGAAGCTCACATAGGGTGAAGTCAAAGGCTTGCCTTTCTCTACAAGAGAAAAAATGGAAAGGTTCCGTTGTAGATTCTTTGATTAGTGGATTAACTATGGTTGGTTTGTGTTGTGCATTGTACATCTGAATGAGTTGAGTATCGGATGTGGGGATTTTTGAATATCTAGTCTGCTAACTTTAGCGATGACATTTGGTGGAGTAAATGAAGTACTGTATATTGTAGTGGGGACTAGGGAGGCTTATTTGTAAAATATACTAATATATAGATGCTCTGTGGAAGCTCGAGCTAGTTAAGAAACAGGAGAAATACTGTTTTTGCTTCATGTACTAAATTATTAGGGGAGTGAAATGTTACAATCGTAGGCAGATAGTTCATCTGAGCCAGAAGAGGATTATGATGAAATATACACTAGAAAACAATGACAATCATGATAGTGAAAAAATAAAGTCCAACATATGTTCTTTTTTTGGCATGTTAATGCAAGATACCATGTCCCATGGAGGATGTTGTCCCTTGCCTTAACCTTCCATGATCGGTCTACTGATCAGTGTAGCTAGTATTAGAAAAATGAATATGCTTACTGTCGCATGCAATTCAGATAAATTTGACCGTAATTGGTGATTGTATGATATTTGATTGTGTGCTAACATGTATAATACCTTATACAGTTGGCATATTCTTATAATTTTCTTAGACGTTCTAATCTTATCAGAGCAAAAGGATGGATAGAAAACATTATGTTCTGTTTTCTGGTTTCCAGCAGTTTGTACTACGGTTGCTTGCCTATCTATTTTTCTGAATCACTCTTTACCATTTACTCTTGTTGTTCTGTTTCTGTCACTTTTCAATAAAATTAGTCTCTTTCTCGAATTAGGTGGCTAAATGCTATAACATTGAAATTCCTTTCTGATCTCTTTTAGGAAAAGTGGTTCTGTCTCAGTATAGATTGGTAACTAAATTTTTATAAATTAGGCTTTTGAGTATTTAATAAAAGGAGTAAACTGGAAACTTGGAGCATTTGGCAGAGGAGCTGTGGGCTATGAAATTGGGTTTGAAGCTTCTGCAAGAGAGAGCAAGGAAAGGTTCGTTCTGGTGGCCATACATCAGCAATCTCCCAGAGACTTACTCAGTGCCGATTTTCTTTCCTGGAGAGGATATAAAGAACTTGCAGTATGCCCCTCTTCTTTATCAGGTATTGCAGGGATATGCTGAATATGTTTGACTCAATAGAAATGAATAACATTTTAGAAGGTTTCTTACCAACAGTCGTAGTTCTAGCACTTCCTCTCCTGCTGATTTTCTCCAGGGCTTGGGATTCTCTTTCATGTACTTCTAGTGATACTAGCCAAAACTTCCTTTCAGACTAGTACGCTCTTATTAAACTGGAACTTTCCAGATTGTTACAGCTATCATGCTTTCGAGCATGGGCAGAGACTAATATTGTTTTGAATTAAGATGTAAGTTCGATATGCTTCCCTGATGTGGAAACTCGAAAACATTTTCATTTGCCAGGTGAACAAAAGATGCCGGTTTCTACTGGAATTTGGGAAAATTCTGAAGCATGAACTCGAGAATCTTAAACCTGATGATCATCCTTTTAGTTGCCAAGATGTGGATTCATCTGCTCTAGGATGGGCTATGTCAGCTGTTTCATCTCGAGCATTCCGGTTGTATGGCGGTAAACGTCCTGATGGCACCCGCAGTAATGTTCCTATGATGCTTCCACTTATTGATATGTGCAACCACAGCTTTGATCCAAATGCTGAAATTGTACAGGAAGAAGCAAACTCCGATAGAAATATGCTTGTAAAGGTATTTCACTGCCGGTGTTCTGTTCAATGTTCTTGTATATCTCGTATTTTGTTGATGTTGTTGTCTTTGCCTCTTCTTTTGTTCTTGTTTTTCTTAACAGGTGGTTGCAGGAAAGGAGATAAAGCAAAATGATCCATTGCTACTCAACTATGGCTGTTTAAGTAGTGATCTTTTTCTTTTGGACTATGGATTCGTCATTCCATCAAACCCCTATGACTGCATCGAACTTAAATATGATGCTGCTCTTCTTGATGCTGCCAGTATGGCTGCAGGGGTTTCATCCCCAAGCTTCTCCTCGCCATCCCCATGGCAGCAGCAAATTTTATCGCATTTAAATCTAGACGGACCAAACTCTAATCTGAAGGTTTGAGCTTTTCCTTCCCTTCTATTTTCATCCTACTCTGTGAAGTTTTACCATTGTTTTTGAAGCACTGTATTGTCTCGGTGAAACTAAATAAATATACTTCAAACAACATAATACCCAATGTAATCCCACAAGGGGAGTATAGAGTGTGTGCAGTAGAGAGTTCGTTTTGGATAGACCCTCGGCTCAAGCAAAAACATATCAAAGCAGATTGGATTGGAAAAAAAATAGTAGAAGTGAAAAAACCATTTCAAATCATATAAATAGCACCTATGTTGCTCGGACTCTTCAAAATATCAACGGGTGCATATCGGATTCTCCAAAACTAGTGTATTTTTGGGGAATCCGACACGGGTGCAGCATCGAAAGTGAAGAGTCCGCTCAACTTAGGATAGCACAATAAAGCATTCTGGAAAAATAGAAGGAACAATACTACAACAAAATAGTGTGATAATCAAAGTACAAGAGACAGGAGAACTATACAAATATACTTGCTATGCAAAAAAAAAAGAAAAAATCTACCGAACCATATTGATGAGCTCGTTCTTTAATCTATCTATACGATTACTTTCATTAGTTGAACTGATTTTCTTTGCTGGACTATCTTAAAGGTGACACTAGGAGGTGGAGAGCTAGTGGAGGGCAGATTATTAGCAGCCTTGAGAGCTGTCCTATCAAACGATGAAGAAGCA